GAGCTACCTCAACGCGTGAATCTGGACGTGTTTGTGGAGACGTGCAGTTCAGGAAACTCAACACCATTTCTGCACATCTCCGCAAACGCGTCGAGATTCAGGTTACCTCAACGCTGGTCGTGGGACTTGGCCCCAGGTAATTGGGAATTATTTGTTCTGTTTATCCGATTGCATCGGGATTCGCTCTTGGATCTGTATTTTTCCAACGGTTCATGGGTGTACCAACTGAGCTATCCTTTTCCCTGTGGTATACAGGGTACGGTCATTATAGCTGTATCTGGACTGAAAGATACCCCAAATACAGCAGCAGTTTTAATGACCCTACGTTGTATTCGGGGCAAGAAGGAAAAAAAAAAGACAAAAACAAGGAGGGAACAAAAGGGAGTTTCGGCCTGCAGGCCTCCAGGCTGGCGCATTCCGTTTGGGCGTCAGAAATTATATTTTTTCTTTGACGTGAAATACAGGAGAATAAGCTATTAGATTTTTTATTTTTTTTTTTGCGTCAGAAATTCGGCTTCCCTGGCCATAAGGACCGGGTTTAGGGTGAAGAAGGTACGCGTTGAAATTGGAAAGACACAGAGAAAGAAGATTAGCATGGCCCCTGGGGCCTCGTCCCACTAGCGAAGTATTCTACGACGCCGCAGGCGTTTTTGATCACGTGCGGCGGCGGGTGACAGCCAGAACCCGCAGATCTCTATTCGGATCTACGGGCACGGCCGATTCGGTTGGATGAAATGGCCATGACTGACCTTGGGCCAATGAGGACGTAGGCACTGGATTTTTTAATTTGTTTTAAGCACTTCACTTTGGATTTTTTTTTTTCTTTCCACTTCACGCTGGTCTCGTTTTCAAGACTTCGCGAGGGGGGGGACGTTTTCAAGACTTCGCGGGCTCTTGGAATGCTGTCGACCGTGGCACAAAAAAAAAACAAAAATCTAGTAGTTGGATTCTTTCCGTGGTGTGTGGCGGTTTTGCTGGATTCCCGTAGCAGACGGTGTACGAGCTGCGCGTGGTGTACACGACCGCTATCACGGAGTAGATGCACCGCCAACGTGGTGATCGTGCATCTCCGAAGGTCGCGTCTGACACGGCGAGCAGGTCTCCAACGTGGGAGACGGTTACGAGAAAGTGCACGAGAAAAAGAAAAAGAAATCCCACTTCTTTTTTTTTTTCGATTTACAAAACGTCAGAAAACAATTAAAAAATGAAAAAAACGCGTCACACATCGTAGAATACTTCGCTAGTGGGACGAGGCCCCTGGGCTGATTACCATGGCCTCTGGGCTGAGGTCCCACTAGCAAAGAGGATTGGACTTAACGCCCGAATCTGGTCGTTCTCGTGGAGAGAGACAGAATCGCGATGGATCTGCTTTTCTGCATCTCTGCATGAAACTCCTCCAGATTCAGGCCCTTGCTCCTGGGCAAAAGGATGACATGCACGAATGGAGGAATGTTGCAAATTTAAATCAATCAATCAATCAATCAATCAATCAATCAACCAATCAATCGATGAAATGGATCAAACAATAAATTAGTCAATCAGTCAATCAGTCAAATCCATCAATCAATCAATCAATTAACCAATCAATGGATTCTATCGATCCATCAATCCATCGACCGATCAAGCAATCAGTCAATCAATCAATTCCAGTGGAATTGAGGGACCAGGAACGTTTCTGCTCTATTTAGACCACCTGTACTTGGCCCAGCTATCGGTCGTGGGAAAAAAATAGAGTAGAAACGTTTCTAGTTGGATGAATTTGGGCGCTTCTGTAGTGGTCTGTACGTTTCCTAAAATCGTGTAGCGTTAATGGGCACGACTTTATGAAGTACTGGTGGTTTAAGAAACTCGGGTCTAGCTCTTAACCGTACTTGGGTAATGGTCCCAGCGTCTGTGAGGTTGTCCGAGAGCGAGGTCCCACTTCGATTTAAGCCCCGAATCTGGATGTCTTTTCATCAAAGATGCAGACAGCAAATTAACCGACCAGTATGTTTCCCAGCTATTGATGCCGACCCTAAAATCGCCCTGCGCACCCAATGAAAACTGAGCCAGCTGGCACCTTAAGCCGTTTTGGTCCCGTACCCGAACCCCTGAAAGATGCTGGGGTAAGAACCCCCGAAAGATGCTGGGGCAAGGTTTGCGCGCATGCCCCTGCGTATTTGTTTTTCAAGCAGGGAAAGGTACTGGTGGGTAAATAAACAATTTTCTGTGAATAAGTTAATAGCAATTTTCTGCACCTCTCCACAAACATGTCCAGATTTGCCAGTGGGACCTCGCTGGTGGTGCCTCGGTTTTCTATAGTGAACGACTTCTTTTAAAAAAAAAATCAATTTAAAGAAAAGCAGAAGAAAAGCCATCTCTCACTCCGTCTTCTATCCCCACTCATCAAGAGCCTCGCTCCACTACTTGTCACGTACACAAACTTCACAAAGTCAAAAAATATGGTGGTGCATCTTTCCATGTTCTAGCCGAAGATTCATTCTCATTTTTCGCATTAGCCTCATTCTCATTTTTCGCATTAGCCTCGCTCC